TTTAGAAATCAGTTATAGTGAAGTGGTTAATTTATTATGAAATGTTGAATGTAAACAAAGACAAATGTTGGAATGTAAGATAAATAAAAAATATGGTAGTCCTTGGAGACAGCATCTTACCTGAGGGCAATAGACTAACATAAAAAGTGTGAGGTGAGCTATATGAAACACAACTCTTTCCTCCAGCTCCCCGCTGTTTCTTCTTTCCTGCTGGCTTCTGCCATTCCCTCTTCCTAAAAGTAGGGCTCACTCTTATTGTTTCCCTGTATGACATCCTCATGTGAATATATGTCTAAGTGTTGTGGGGTGAAGACTCAGACATGGGTTATCATTTTTTCTTTTTCTTTTTTTAAAATTACGAAAGAACTTTTAAAAACATCCATGAATAACATGTCTAGCAAACTCATACTGTCTATCCTTCAGTTCCATGTTATAACCTCTTCCAGTTATTAAATCCTTATTTGACTCCCCTCCTTCCCAGTGTAGATTTTCTATAAACTTATAATTCCCCTTCCTTTGTTTCACTATCATGATGCTCATTTGATCAAACTGATACGAATATAATTATTACAAACCTCAAGTACCATGCTAAATAAATATAGAAAATGTTACAAATGAGCTGTAAAAGTGACCATTTTTTTCTTTGGTAGCTTTATCAGTTATGTTTCAGATTCAGTTTAAGCAGGACTCCAGAAACAGTGGACTATCTCAGCCAATATCATCTGTGGGACAAAAATGCCAGGGTGCAACATGTTCCCTTCGTGTGTGAACTCTCAGGATCTTCCTGGCCTTTGACTACATCTTGGCTACAATTTGTTGGACCTGTGGGATGATTTTTCCTCCTTGCAATTTATTACAGACTTTACCACCACCCCCAAAAGAAACCAAAACTAGTTCTTGAAACCCACTTCTGGTTTCATTTTTTTATGTATCATTCCCATTGTGCATTGGTCACTTTGTCAGTTCTGCTATGTAATAACATAACAGCAGCTCTCTATTGGATATGGACTTTAGGAAACTGCCAGTTCTAATTCCTGCAGACTGAAATCCACTTACAAAGATGTAAGACCCCAACAGGTTTACAGTCATTATCTTATAGTTTTCCAGTTGTCTGGGAATAAGAACTCCTGTCTGCCAGCCAATACCTCACTCAATACCTTCACTGGCACACACAGAAGAAATGCCATTTGAAAGCTGAAGAAAAAGAGATGACAATATGCCAAGTTTGTGGAACCCATTGCTTTTCTCCAGGGTTACAGCCTACAAATTCAATGTATCTTGAGAAGACATCAAGCCAGTACCTCTTTCAACACTCAGCTAAGGGCCATGGAAATATCATTATTCAGTAGATCTGTACCAACATCTGTACCCTGTTTGCATGCCTGAAAACTGAGCTCAGATGCTAAAATGGAGTTATTTCAGACATTTCTCCCATTTGTGGGAGCAAATAATACTTTGCTACATAGCCTAGACTAGTAAAGAAGATGCTATGTTACAGTGGACTGTAGTGTTTACTCATGGTGTTCAGATACCAAACCATATTCTAACTTGGACAAATGACAAATAATGCCAACATGGGCTGAATTATTTGGTCAATTTCAAGTGGTTGTTTTAAAAGCCCACCCTAAAGGACTACAATTATTTTAGTCTGCTGACCCACATCTGAACTCTTTTGGCCTTTTAAAGTCCTGGACCATCACCAAAAGCAGCACATGCCTAGTTTCTATTATGGAGTAATAATAACTTGCATCATTTTGTTTTTTAATCAAACTATTTTTTTGAATTAGAAGAACTTTAAAAATTTGTTGGAAAATGTCAGCGTCTACCATTTGAACAGCTTTAAAAAACAGGCCAATCCCATTTTCCCTCCTTTTAAAAAATGTCTGAAACCTCAATTACTGTCTGCCAAGTTTAAGGCTGGAACCCATTTTTACAGCACTTTTAAGCCACTGAAAAACTAGATTTACAATGGAGGTGCTGACAGACCTTTAACTCTCACAGCTATTCTAATAGCTCAGCTGTATTTATTTTTCATTATACTTAAATATAATTGGCAGAGGCTTAGCCGTAGTTCAGGCTGATGAGAACCTTTTTCGTTTCAGCATCACTTCTGGAAAACTGGTTCCTTTTGGGATGCCCTTTTTATTATTGTGTCTTTTATGTCTTGGCTGCCTTTCATATTTCTTTGCTTGTTAGTCTGTCTGCACCACTGTATCTTTCAGAAAAAGCATGTCAAGCAAGTATTTACATTTTAGAAGCTGTGCCATTCCCTATGTAGAGAAGAAGCCCATCTTGGAAAAACCCTACTTACAGAGTTTGATTTGTGCTGAGGCTTGCCAGCGGAATGGGAAAATAGTAGTACCACTGAACATAGGCATAATGCTTCTCCTTCATCTTTGGTTAAGGAATTTGTTGTTGTTGTATGCCTTCAAGTAATTTCTGATTTATGGTGACCCTAAGGCAAACCTATCATTGGAATTTCTTGGCAAGATTTGTTTAGATTTGCCATTGCTTTCCTCTGAGGCTGAAAGCATGTGACTTGTCCAAGGCCACCCAGTGGGTTTCATGGCCGAGCTGGGAATTGAACTTTGTCCTCCAGAGTCATAGTGTAACACTCAAACCATTATGCCACACTGGCTCTCTGGTAAAGAAAATACATCAACAATAACCTTGAATTAGAATGGGAATTTGATTTCTATGAATGCTGGAGCACCAAAATCACCAAAATCAGGCTTGTCTTCTAAAACATCTTTTTCTATAAGTCCACAAAGGTTTCTCACATTGTTCTGTGAACAGCATAAAAGCCAACGTCCAATATAATACTTTATTAGCACCAATGTAAATTTATGTCAATGTAAATAAATTTAGGCTGTACATATGAAGTTGGAATTTAAAGGTGTAATTTTATTTTTTATAGCTATTTATGTCACTACTATTGCAATACATTCAGTGATATACGGGAATTACAATTTATGAGTAACATTTGTACAAAAAAAATTATTAAGGGCCTCTACAAACAGGCCCTTTGGGCCATCCTGGAGGCAGTGATAGGGAGGGGCAGTCACACGCCAGCTGCCTCAAGCCCTTCCCGAAGATGTCCTGATGACACATGCCATTACACATGGTGCACAACATCAGGACATCCTTCCGGTGCAGCTTTTGATATGCTGTGCCAAAAGGGGTGCCAAAGAGCCATGTTGTGGTTCTTAGAGCGGCCTTTTGCCAGCTCTGAAAAGAGTGGTATTTTGCCACTCCTTTCCGGACCGGCAAAAGGGAGGATCAAGGCTGCGCTGTCCGGCAGCCTCGATCCTCTGCTTCCCAGGGTGGCCCAAAGCTGCCCATCTGCATCCCCCCATTGTCTTTTCCAAAGAGTCCTTCCTTCTCATGATGTGTCCGAAGTATGACAGTCTCAGTTTGGTCATCTTGGCTTTCAGGGAGGTTTCTGGTTTGATCTGCTCTAGGACCCACTTGTTTGTCCTTTTGGCTGTCCATGGGATCCTCAGCACTCTTCTCCAGCAGCACATCTCAAATGAATTGATTTTCTTACTATCATCTTTCTTAACTGTCCAGCTCTGACATCCATACATGGTAATAGGAATACAATGTCTTGCATGATTCTAACTTTTGTGGTCTATTATGCTTAGTTGTGCAAATCTGTTTCTTATGTTATCAGTAAATTCTATAGAGATATTATTTAGTTCATATTTTGGAATAATCACTGGTTTTATTTTCTTCCTGAGTCTTACTCTTATTTTTCTTATGAGTAATTCATGAACTGTGCCACTGTCAGTGCTTGGTCTAGTCTTGGCCACCAGTATAGAATTCCACCATCTTTTACTTCCAGTTATATAATCTACTTGATTTTTGTGTTGACCATCTGGTGATGTCCATGTGTATAGCCTTCTTTCTGGTTGTATGAAAAATATGTTTGCAATGAATAGGTTGTTGGCTTCACAAAAATCTATCAGACGCTCATCTGCTTCATTTTATTTGCCTAATTGTTATCTTTTGTTGTCTGTTATTGGAATCTATTTTAAATATGTTTTAAATTGCTTCATACTTTAATACTATTTTAAGAGGTGGGTGGGTTTACAGGATTTGCATTGTATTTTTGTTCTATTTTTAAATGTTGTAAGCCACCCTGATTGCGTACGCAGAGGGGCGGGATTATTATTATTATTATTATTCCAAATCTGCCTACTGTTTTTTTATTCTTCTTTGCTTCCAACTATTGCATTCCAATCTCCAATGATCAGCTTGACATCTTGTGTTGGTGTGCTGTCAATTTCTTCCTGTTCTGCATCTATCATTGGTGCTGTCATGCCCTGCCTGGATGAGGACTCGGAGGATGAGCCAGAACTTCCTCTGGGCTCTGAGACTACAGTGGAGGAACCCCTGCCTGGCCCTACAGTGGAGCAACCCCTGCCTGGCCCTAGTGACCCTGCTTTGCCAACTTCCATGGAGTCTCCAGCAGAGCCTGGGGCTTCTCAGCAGGTCACTCCATCGCCAAGCCTCCCGATGACAGAATCATAGGACATAGAGGAGGATCAAGGGACTGTGCCTGTCTTCAGTCAGAGTTGGGCAGAAGGGTGGGCCTTCAGTGTTCAAGGAGGCTTTATGAAAAATGCCAAGGTAATCAAGTTGATCAGCACCAGCTGAGCTCTGGCAGCTCAGGGATTTAAGCAGGTGTGGAAGTGCTGCCTCAGTGCTAGAGATTATCTGAGCTCCCTGGTGAAAGCCTCTGTGGGCCTTTGCAGACTGACAGAAATAGAGGCCACTTTAACAGCCCTGACTCAGTGAAAGGGAATCATGGGAACTGTAGTTTATTGTGGCACCAGAGCTCTCTGACAGAGAAGGCTCAAAGTCTCAGAAAAAAATACAATTCCCATGATTCCCTAGCACTGAGCTAGGGCAGTTAAAGTGGACTCAATTTGCACTATTTCTGGCAGTCTGCAAAGGCCCTGTCTCTCCTTGTTCCTTGGCCTGAACCCTTGACTCCTGACTTATCATGGACTACTGAAATTCTTGACCCTTGGACTCTACTCTTGGACTTCTGAAACCCTAGGCCAGGGGTAGGCAACCTTTCCCCTTTAAGGGCCGAGGGACTTCAGCTCCCAGAATCCCATGAGCTATTGGCCAACATGGGACTATTGGCCAACATGGCCAAAGCTTCTGGGAGCTGAAGTCCCTCGGCCCTTAAAGGGGAAAGGTTGCCTACCCCTACCCTAGGCCTTGGATTGCTTTGACTCTTGGCTTCTCTGGAACCCTCAACTTTCAGACCATGTTTGACCCTTCACTGGCTAACCCTTTGGATTGGTAACTAGGACTTGGTTTGGCACTTTCCCTTGCCTTGGCTATCAACCGTGCTGTTAGCTTTCCAGGACAGATGCATATACTTGGATTATGGTGATATTCATAGGTTTAACATGGAGCCTTACCAAAATGATTTGGTATGAATTTGCATTGTATTCACTGACTGCTTTTGCCACATCTTTTCTTAGTATGAAAGCTACCCCATTTCTTGTCTTTTTATTGCCTAAGTAAAACACTGTGTTGTTGTCTGATTCAAAAAGGGCCCGTTCCTGTCCATTTTAACTCACTCACCCCAGTACTGCTATGTTCATGTGTTCCATTTCCATTTTTACTATGTCCAGATTCTTTTGGCTCATGCTCCTCACATTTTACATCCCTATTTTATGTGTAATGCTGCTTTGGATGCAATTTGCCTTCCTAAGGGTGTTTGCTATTTGTCTTGGCATCTTTCTTATGCCCTTGGCTAATCTTGCAAATGTGCTATCCCTTTATCTCCCCTCCTTCCCTTTCTGTTAATGCTCTGATCCTGCCTGTGTCTCACTTAGAGTGTGTCATCATACAGTTTACTAGGTGATGGGGTTACACAAGGATGGCCACCTGCACCTCTCTGTGTGCAGTGCCAACCAACGTTAGCTATGATGTCACTACAATTCACTCCTGTCAGTGACAGCTACCACTACTGCTGCTGCCCAGTAGCTGTTTGTCTCCCTATATTATTCCTTCTGTTGTTTGTTTCCTTTCATACTCATTCCCTTATGCTTCCCTAGGTTCCCCTCCTTCCCTTCCCTCATGTCTTCCCTCCTTTAGTCCATCCCCATCCCCACACCCTCACTCTTTTAGTTCTTTCACTTCTTTCTCTGTGGTTGGGGGAGGGCAGAGATGGCTGGTCACCCTCTTCCTTCCTCCACTTGATGCCTGGTCCTCTGGCGGCACTCTGTTCTCTTTCTCAGCTGGGGGTGAAGAATGGGCTGAGTTGGTGCTTTGCCCCACTCTCCCCTGCCTCTCTGATGATCCTCTTTTTCCTCCTGTTCAGTTGGGGGGCTGGGCTGGATTCAAGCCTTCTTCCCACCTCTCTGTTGTTTCCTGGTTTTACCCAATATAGTTCTCTAATTTGTTTTTTTTAATTATAATTTCATTATTATAAAAAACAAACATTAGACATAAACATAAATTTAACATTTTTAACATACATACATACACATTTAACCTATCTAACATTAAAATGACTTCCCTTCTTTTAACCTGTTTATTACTATATTAATATTTATGTCTTTCATTATTAACATATAAATATCATCTTATTACGTTTCTAAATGTCTATTACCCCTTTTCTTATTCTTCTCAAATTCATTATAATTTTTCCCATTCCTACATGCACTATTCTAAATTAAGATACTGAAATTCCTCTTTTTATCTTTTTCTAAATCAATGTTACTTTCCCATGTACATTTTCAACTTTGGGCCTTAGCAGTCTCCTAGAAATAGTGCAAATTGAGTCCACTTTAAGGGTTAGGGTTAGGGTTAGGGCAGTGGTCCCCAACCCCTGGCCCGCGGCCTGGTACCGGTCCGCAGAACAAATGGTACCGGGCTGCGAGAGGAAGAGGAAGAGGAGGAGGAGGAGGAGGAGGCAGCCTCGGGAGCATGTCTCTCATGCCCGCTTCCTCTGGTCGCCTCCGAGTGCCAGCCTGGGCACTTTAGCTGGAGAGGGAGGGAGGAGGACGAGGCAGGGCCCCCGACAGCCAATCCCTGCCAATAGGAGGAGGAGAACCCTTAGGCCCGCCTCTCTAGCTCACTCCCTTCTT